TCCTTTATAGTATTAGTAATATCATTCATCAAATGCTCTTATTTAAACATAGCAGACCATTATGCAAACCTTCTACAATTACTCTTCAGAAGGCTCATATCTACCAAGTATTTGCTTTCCACATTCTTAATATTTCATGCCTGAAATGAGTCAGGAAGGGGTAAGAGAACATATTCACGCTACAACTGACTCCTGCTCTATTCATGAGACTGTTTTAGAGCACAGTACCGGCTTCTTAGGAGAGGGGAACAATGAAAATGTAGATCACGTAAGCAACCCACCTGCTTGTTAACACAACGATACGAGTGAATTCAGAAGTGGGGGGGGCAACTTCAGAATTACTTGTTACCTCCAAAAGCTGCCGTTTCCCCGAGGCTTTCATCCTGATGGTAGACATTCGCTCGGCTAAGACGGTGAGCGTGGACTGCAAGGCCAGCTGCTCCGCGGGGTCTGACTCACGAGACTCGGACAACAGCTCCTCTGCGAGAGAGGACTGGAGCTCATTGATTTCATCTTGGAGCATGAGAATCTCATCCATCAGTGCCTGGAGGAAAGACTATGGAATCACACTCATGTATTCACTTTCTTGACTGAGGAATCACATCACTCGCTGAGCCTCACATCCATGGGGATTAGCGGAAGACATTTCACTTGGAAGTCACCGAACCAGCCAATGGGCCTACTCACCTAAGTTTCAAAAGGAAAGTACCAGACTGAATGCCAGGACGTGTCTGATTTCACTACTATTCATATCACTAACCCGAGCACTTTGAACAAGTTAACTAATTTTTCTGGTTTTCCATAAGCACATCCGTAATACAAGACGGGGTATGCTCAATTATTTCTAAGAGTTTCCAATTCTGTGCTGAAAATAAAATTCTTGACTTTCTTCCTTAACATGATTTTCCCACTCTGACTTTCCCCAAGTCTGAAACAGCACTGAATTCTATTCCCAAACTCATATTATTTCTCATAAGACGGAGAAACCTGTGACCTGTTTCCGTGTGATCACAGTACCCTACTCTAACATACGAAGTCTTTCCCAGGTGATGTCGTCCACTCCCAGGGCTTCGAAGGCTTTCTAACGCTGAGCACTTCCCAAGGTACAACCCTAACCCAGACATCTGTCCTAAATTTCAGGCTGTGTATTCAACTTACCTAGTTCACGGATACCTCCATGGTATTAAATCTAAACCTGCCTGCAATCCCGTCTTCTAGCACCAATCCTCACTGCTCAAGCTGGAGACCTGGGAGTCCTTCTTCACTCCTTCCTCTCTGTCACTCACCGTCTCCAATCCATCACTCGAAACTATTGCTTTTATCTCCGAAACATATCTTGTACATCTGCATACCTCCACTGCCCCCACTTGAAGTCAAAGTAACTTCTTCTCTTGTCTGAATTGCTATAACGGTCCAGTCTGCCTGCTCACGCTCTTGTTGCTCCAGTCTCCTCTTTACAAAGCAATCACAGCGACCTTTTAATATGTAAATTAGAATGGGATCAGCAACAGCTTGCAAGATGCCAGGCCTACTGCCCAACCTTGAGGGAGGCCGTGAATTCGGTTTCAAGGCATCTCTGAGCCCACTGCGTGGACGCTATGAGCAAAGCTCAACCTCCCAAGTTGAAAAAATTTATGGACAAAAATTTATGGACAAGAAGTTATCTCTGAAATTAAATGGTGGCACACATGTCCAGGGAATATTGCAGGGATTCGATCCCTTTATGAATCGTGATAGATGAATGTGTGGACATGGCAACTACTGGGCAACAGCAATAAAACGACGGTGGTGATACAAGGAAACAGTGTCATCATGTTAGAAGCCTTAGAACGAGTACAAATAATGGCTGTCCTGCAGAAAAATCCATGTCCTCTCTCCATTTTTACTATGATGCTGTTAATGGAAAATAAGCCAAACTCTGTAAAATAATTTAAAGAGGTTTATTCCGAGTCAAGTATGAGGACCATGTTCTGGAGCCACACCCAAGAATCCTTGAGCAGTGGTCTTGCTGTGGTTGGGTTATAGTTTGGTTTTATACATTTCAGGGAGACAGGGGTTACATGTGGAAGTCATAGATCAATACGTGAAGGTGTACATTGGTTTGCTCCGAAAAGGCAGGACATCTTGAAGGGCGTAGGGGTATGGGGGGCAGCGGGGCTTATAGGTTATAGGTGGGTTTAAAGATTCTTTGATTTATAATTGGTTAAAGAAATGAAGCTTTGTCTAAAGGCTTGGAATGATTTAAGTTAACATAAGGAAGTCCGTTAATCAGAGACGAGCCACCAGATACA